TAGGGCGGGGCTCCTCCCGTCCTCTTTTTTGCTCGCTGAAATATGGTAACCCTAGTAAAGTTATAGACACTGCACATTGCTGGGCATCAAATCAGTACAGAGTGACACTCATTATTACCCAGATTGTCCTACCTTTGCACCCTAACCTCAAACCTTTGACTGTCACCTGCAGAGCAAAGCTGACCCTGATTCGACCTTTGATGAAGACAACCTGGTCCAGACTGTTTTCGACCTTTTCTTGGCAGGGACAGAAACCACAACCACCACCCTCCGCTGGGCAGTGCTTTATATGGTGACTTACCCAGATGTCCAAGGTGAGGGGGTTGGGGAAGATACGTGCACCATACATAAGATTGTGCATTATGTAGAAAGTACCCACTTCTGCACAATTTTGTTAGGTGATTGTAAGTCTAAAACTGGCTGCAGCTCCAAGATGGGTCCCTGATATAAAAGCAGATGCCTGGACTGAGCTTTGAGTCAGGCCTCTTCGATTTCTGACCTCCAGTCACTGCCCCTTGCTTCTTAGAGAGATAGGGTTTTCCACACTTTGTGTCTGGTTCTCAAGCCAAGCTCTATCACCTTTCCACACGATATTGTTGCTTCATTCAGAGAAACTCAGACGTCCAAATAAATCACAAAGTCCCAACTCAAACAAATGTCACACAGTCGGGGTTTCTTCTTCCCAGTGGTTCCCTGAGTCACAAGTATCTAAACATTTTTTCCCTCCTTGGGGTTCCTTCTCCAGCCATCTGACTCTACACACGGGTTCTCTCAAGGTCCTTTGAAGAGACCGTCAGTAATCATTTCACCCTCTCTCTCAGTTATGAAGGAAGGGAGCTACTTATATATTCTGCCTCCTTCCCAGCATGCCTTGCAACACAGTCTCTAACTCTCAGGTGTCCCTCTGGGCCACAAGTCCTAGTGTGTGTTGGTGCTGCCAGGAACAGGGAAATGCTGGAGTGGAGGCCTCCTTTAAAGGAACATGCTATTGTAGTCACAGTCCTCAGTGAGGAACGTGCTCCTGGCCGGGGAAGTGCTTTCAGAGTTGTTAGCTGGTAAAGTTGTCTTTGTGATTGCGCAAATGCAGGACTTTTAATTCACTAAACGCTATTGTCCCCTGCAGCACATGCAGATGGTGCTTCCTGAGTGCCTCTCTCAATTATTGCTGCTCAGTCCCTTCCATCTTCACTTCCCGGCAGAGGCAACGTGTGGGTGGGGGGATGCGGGGTCACGTGCCCCACCCCTCAGATTTGCTGCTTGGCTTGTACTGAGCATGCTCAGTAACTAACACTGCTGAAGCCGGCTGCCCTCACTCCTTCCCCCTCACCTGCACTATAGGCAGGCACAGGTCATCTCTGCTTCCAGGATGGAAAACCAACTTGCATTTCATATGCACTGTTATGCTGAAGGGTGTTGGTAGCTGCCAGCAAGGGTGGCTTTGATCTATAGGCAATCACAGACCTTGCTGAGGCTGCTGGCTGTGCCAGCTGCCCTTCCTTTTGGCTAACTGAAAGGAGCACATTAAGCTCCTTTTTGGAGTCAGATAGCTGAAACAAGAGAAGTCACTGCCCAAAGCACTGGTCACATGGAAGGGCGGAGCAAGAATGAATTCTGGGCAAATAAGAGGGGAGTCCTGGGAACTGATTGAAAATGTGGAGGTTGGTGCATTGATCGGCTTGTGGCTGTGGGCGTTTGTCAGAAGCAGAAAGCAGTGAGAAAAGCCAGGAGAAATCGGAGAGCAGTGGTAAAAGCATGGCCTGGAGTGGATGCAAAGAAAGAGCTTCTTCTGGTCAGAGAGCTGGCAGGGAAGGCAAGTTTGGAAATGATGAGCAAGGGAAACTGCCTCTGGTTTGATCCTACAGTGTTCAGGGAAACAGGACTTGGTGTACGTTCTTTGCAAATCCACAGGATTGCACCAAAGAAATACCGTATTTGTATAATCGACTTCTCCTCCTAACGGAAACGACCAGCGAGGCCCTGCACACTGGCTATCTGCTCAAGCCAAGGGGCAATGCTAGGAAGCCCGCTCATCCTTCATTTATAAACAGGGACCTCATACGGATGCATTGGCCAAAAGGGGAGCCTTGAATCCTTTGGCTGCCAGTCTATATCCCAGCTATCGCTTTCCCCGCTGTCGCTTTCATCTAGCAAGAATGCTGCTTTACTTGCTGACATCTGTGAATGTCATTGCACCCTGCTAGCACTAGAGGGCTCCTGTTTCCC